GCTTAAACCCTGAACCCTACACCCTAATCCCTATATAGTCCCCTATATAACCAGTTTGAGGAGTTTAGACCATAGCTCAACCCTAAACCCTATATAACCCCCTATACAATCCCCTAGACAATAGCCCCTGTGCATTCTGGAGCCGCAAACCTGCCGAAGGATGGACTCATTGATATTCCGATCTTGGAGCCTTGCTTTTAGGGTTTAGGGTTTAATTGTGTAAGGTTTAATGTTTAGGTTTAGGGTGTAGCATTGGTCAGCTGGACGCATCAGTATGCAGACTTGCCCACCCCAAGGCCACCCAAACACTACTCACAGCGAACCAAAAAGAGCCAGCCAAACAAGCCAGCAATTTCCATTTGAATAAGCATTACGTGCTGGCCAAGTTGCACGCATGCCATCACGGTGCACAGCTAGCCGCGGGGGCATACATGGTAGGACAAGTTCGAGATTGCGAGCTGTATTCATGATGTTGCATGCGATTAACACTTGTTGTTCAGCTGGTTTCGGGCACCTATCTTCCGTATGCGGCGCGGCACGGCATGTTGAGCCCACGCACGAAAGATTTCAACAGCAGAGCTGGACAAGCAGAGGCCTATCTGCAAAAAAAGCCACAGGTAATGACGCTGCAGAGTCGAAAATGGATGAGAGGCTGGCTTTGCGCAAGGCGTCTGGCCCCTGTCTGGACTCAGCAAGTAGCGGTCATGCTCAGTGCAGCCACCCAGCAAGTAGTCCGAGTCCTTCCGGACGCTGGACAGGGCCACGTACCCTGCAGCAGGACACCCAGGACGATCAGGCCAGAAGGTGACATGGTCGAGTTCAGCGCCCTGGAACTTGTGCACCGTATCTGCGTACCCCAAGCAAACAGGATAGCACGTGACACGGCCGGCCAGGACGCCGTCGTCCGCCATGGAGTAGGACACACGTGGATCGAAGCTGTGGACGGTAGCCGCCATCCCATTGACAAAATCGTGCTTCTTGTCCATGTTGCGTGTGAGGCGTATGCGGAGGCCGCTGTAGAGGGTGAGGCGGGAGGGCTCCCGGCAATGGTCCCTCAGGGTATTGACAAGAACGCTTACTTCGGCGAGTGCAGCTGAAGCCTGTCGTGATGTCCTCAGCAGGGGGTCGGTGGTGCCCGGACCAGGCTTCGCGGTCGCGGCGTAGTCCACGCACGAAATTCCTGCCTTCCTGCCCCAAGGGCCTTTTTGCGAATTTGTTGAGCAGAGGGTCCTAGCTTCTGGCGCAAACATGGCGGAGCTCAACTTTGTGGACCAGGCTCCACCTCGGATGCCGCGTTTGGTGCGGTCTGGCGGCGGCAACTGCCACTCATCACCAGCAAACACCAAACACGGGACCTTGTCTGCGGCCAGCCACATCTCACCGAGGCGGTCAATTCGTCGAAAAGCTGCGGGGCCTGACGATCAGATCACAGCAAGTCATGACCCCCATAGCCTCCGCAAGCGCCTTGTGGAAAAGGAATGCACCGTCGCTTCACGCCCGCCCGCTGCACGCCAGTCGGCAAGGCGATGAGGACTCATGCGCCAAGGCGTTGGGCTCGCCGGATACAGCCACCCAACACTGCAGTCTTGCCAGTACCTGGGGCGCCGAAGCAAGCAAGCACGCAGCCGTGCTCCTCGACCATACCCGCTAGGCGTTCGTACTCCTGCTCGTCCTCCGCGGCTCGAAGTCGCAACGCTTGATCGACTCGCTGGTTGATGTTGCCGTCAAACCTCGCTTGCTCCGCAGTAAAGACAAAGTCATCGACCCTCTCCTCGAAGAGGTCTTCAGTGCCTCGAGGAACTGCGAAGGCCTCCGCGCGGCGGGGCTCGCCGACCGAATGAAATACTCCTGCGCTCGGATCATGTTGACGACCGTCACAATGTACGCCTCACGGAGCGCACGGAGAGCCATGTAGTCACGGTCACGGACGCGTGCCTCACTGCGCCACAGCTCCGGCGCCCAGCGCAGGGCACAGGCGAGGAATTTTACCTGCTCCGGAACAGCCTGCACGATCTAGGGCACCAAGAGGTCCTCCAGGCACTTGTAGGGAACGTTGAGGGCCATCCATTGGCCGTAAAGCTTATCGTTCTGCATGGAGATAATCTCGGCCGCAATGATCTTCTCCCCAAAGGTCTCGTACCTCACGGCGAAGTCCTGCAGGCCAATAATGGACTGGTCTGTTCGCAAGTAAGCCTTGCGCGACGCTCTAGGATGGCGCCCTTCTTGTTGACCTTCCGCCAGTACTCGATCAACGGCATGTCGCAGCGCCAGTTCGCGGCTTCGTAGAGCTGGAGATAGTTGGGCTTCGCCGTCATGCCAGGGCGCGGTGCGATGATCGGCTGCATTGCACCCCCCATGAAGAACATGGGGAAGGTCTGATTGGCGAGACGAAGCCACATCTCCGGCTCTCCTGGATGGAACGTAAAAAGAACTCGGCAAGCTGCACTGTAGCGCTGCTTGCATCATCCATAAGCTCGATCCTTCCCTGGGCCGTCGCTGAACTTCAACAGAGAAGTGGCAGTGCACTTAACGGAGCCGCAGTCTAGCTGCAGGTCCTGGTGGCACTTGAGAACGTCCAGGACTTGGCGAATGAGCCCTCACGCTGCGCCTCTGGTCCAACGCGGTGTGGCGCAGGCTCACCTTGTCCAGCTCTGCGTTGTACTCACGCTGGCCTAAAAAAGGCTGCGCAAGGACGTAGCCACGCAAGGGATCATCTTCTTGCGGCACTGCGGCGCTGGCCTTGACCGGAAGATGCGTGGGGCCTATAGACACTCTTCAAAGATCAGGCCACGCAGGCGGGCGGCGGCTTTTCCATGGTAGCTCTGCGTGGCTTGCTTTCGCTTTCCGTCCTGAAGCTCCAGACGGCCAATGAAGTTGACCTTGAGCCTGCGCCCGTCTTCTGTGGAAAGCACGCCAAACATCAACCCGGCGCCGCAGACCCACGCGCGAATGAGCTCTGTGAGGATGTGCGCCAGACGCATCGTCTCCGGGCCCGCCAGCTGCAATCCCCCGACCCAGCTGCGCCATCTGCCGGAGCAGCCATTCGAAAGGTTGCACGTTAGAGAGGCCACGGGAAAGCCGCACCGGGCTTGCATGTCAGGGGCTGCCGCGTGCTAATCTGAGCCAGTACTGCGGTGTCCATGCAGGGCGCGCCTTGCAGGGCTTGCCACATGGGCGCGCCGCGTAGAGCGCCCTTCTTACCGCCAACATCGGTTGGTCGGACCAATCGTCTCCATCTGCCTAGCCCTGCTGGCGGCGCAGCACACGGCGAGCTGTGAAAGTTTGGCTAGCGCTGCAAGAAACTGCGGCGTCGATGCACAGGTAGCTCATGAGAAAACCAAAAGCCTGCACAAGGCCAGGTAAACCCCCTGCACCTTGCATAGCAAGGCAGTCAGCCTTGGCAGCACTTCGGCGGGCTGGGCGGTCCAAGCCGACGATTTTCTCCTCCACGTCCTGCGCCGCCCGCGACAGCAGCAACATGGTGCTATGGAAGTAATAGCCGTAATCTGCCTTCCACTCCGGGCCGCAGTCCACCTCCAGTGGCCGCAGAGCTAGAGGGCTTCGCGGGACAGACCACGGAGGGGCTCCGGAACTTCTTCCAGCCACGGACCCAGATTTGCTTGGGTTCGTATTTCTGGCAGTTCTTGCACCGCTTGATCAGCGATGTCATTGCAAGAAGCTGCCTCCTTGAGGTGCTGCTTTGTACGGATCCGCATATTGCGCAGAGCTTCCGGGATGCCCGCTTGGACAGGCTTCCATCGGCACTTGTTCAAGGCGCCCGACACGGGGTTCTGCAACTGCCACTGCGCATGTGGCACCCTGCCATTGACGGCCAGGAAAGAAATTCTTCTGCACATTTCCACCCGGGCCTTGTAATCCTCTAGCCCGGAAGCATTCGAGGGAGCTGACACGGACGCACGCCAGGACAGTATAGTGTCCCTGTGGGGCCTGGAAGATGTAGGAGCAGGTTGCTGCGCAGACTCCAGCAAGGCTTGCCGAACCTTAAAGCGTGACCAACGCACTGCACGAGCAAGCCGTCCGGTAGATGTCTCGGGCAGCGGCCTTGCTGTGTCTGGATGGTTCGCTTCATGGCTTCCGGGCTGCAGAAGACACAACAAGAGTCATGCTTGCCTTGCGGCCTGCCTCCACGGCCGTCGGTTGCAAAGCAGCATGGGTGCTCGGCCTGAGCCCGACATCTGTGGCGTAGCTGCTGACCGCCTTCATTGGTAACCACCAGTTGCTCAATCTCAATGGCCTCCGGAATTACCTCGCCCGCGCGGGCTGAGGCCATGTCGTAGATGTCCTGGTCCAAGCCACGCAACGTCTGAGAACAAATACTGAAAAACTCGTATGTAGTCGGCATACCCTAGTTGAGTTCGGGAGCTCTGAGCATGTTAACCAGCATAGACTTGCCAGAAGTTGTCAATGCCCGTTCCAAACGCTCCAGGGCGCAGAACAAGCACATACCACAACCTCTTGTCCGGGTCGCTGGCTGGGCCAACGTGGATTGCGGAGAAGCAGCAAGGAGCATCCATCGTGCTGGGGCATGCACGTGGTATGTTCAGGAAGAGGAAGACTACTTATGTTGCAACAATCAACTTTTTGGCTTTTTGCTTGGAGAGCAAACTGCAGTTAGCACCCATCCAGTATGCCAAGGCGACATCTACTCATGAAACCATATATGCTCAGTCTGTCAGTGCACTCAGACCTGCGCAGGCACGTTCATGACCAAATATGCTGTTCACGCCGGCATGGGCGCACCTATGAGGGCTTGTCCCTTCTTTTTTCGATTCGCGCAAGCCGTACAAGTAGCGAGCTGGCCGCCGCAGCAATAAGGGTATCGGCAGAGACATGTACCTTGGCGAGGATGCCGACCGAGAAAAACTTGCTACAATCGCGATCATGGTCTCGAGTCTACAAATGGACAAACGCAGTCTCGCCATGAACAAGAGTCCTGCGACATATTTTGCGACAAGTAGCTGGAGGATCGAGGTTGCCGCTCACCGGCCCATCGCCTTGCCTTGGATTCTCAGCGCACAGACACGACTCTGCAAGTAAACGACGCGATTCTTGGGAGGTTTTAACTCGTCACACTCGGTACGAATTCTGGGTACGCTTCTTGCCCGAGCGCTAAAGCAATGTCGTACTAGCATGGCTACATTCCAGGTTTTCCGAGGTTTCAGCTGGAAGTCGAAACTTTTTGAGACTTGCAAGATTTCCTATGGTTCCGTGATTTGTAGGATGTCCGTTGGATTTCTAGGGTAAGTCTAGAATCCAGAACTCCAGACCTCTAGGATCTGTCGGATTTCTAGGTTTTCTAAAACATGTTCCTGGTAGAGAGGCTGACATGGGGCTCTGGGAGCTGTCAGATTTCCACAATTTCTATTTGCGGTTTTGCAAATTCCCGGACTTCTAGGCTTTATAGGATCTCTAGAGGCCCTAGTATTTGCTAGGATGTTTGGAATTTGGGGATTTCAAATAGTCACGTACATGTTCATATGATCGAGCCATCGGGCGATAAGATTTTTGGAGGTGTTCAGGCTTGACGCAGGTCACCTACAAGCGTCTAGTATTCCACGGCTTCCGAATACACTTGAGAGAAAGGTTATGGAGGCTCCTGGACTGTAGCTGCAGCCAGGTCGCTCAAAACCAATTAATGCAAAATAGGTAGTACTGCTCTGATAATTAAAGTTTAGGAACATAGGATAAAGCTCGAAAACGAAGAGTGACAAATTATAGCCAAGAGTCGGAAAAGACCAGAGTTCTGGAAGCGCGAAGATGCTTGCATGCGCAGCCTTGGTATTGAAACGACAAAAACTGAACTGCTACAGAACCCAAAATGGGGTAACAGTCACTGAAGGGCCATGCCCCCACGTTGCAAAACAATGGGGCGCCGGAAAATCTGAGTTTTGAGTATAAGCGTTCGAGGTAGGACTGTGATATATTTTTCGCAAAGACAGATGCGAGGTTTAACCATGTCCGGTGCCACTGGTGGACCGTGTCCGGCGCTGGCGCCGGGCGAAGTACCAAGACCGTCCGGTGCCGGCGACGGACAAAGTAGGCAGTCCCCCAGACTGTCCAGCGTCACTTTGGACCCCCAAGCCACTTTTTTGGACCCCTCCGCGCCTCCCTCCAAAACATGAAAAGTACGGGGACCGTGTCCGGCGTCATTGGACCTCTCAGGCACCCCGCCGGACAAAGTAGCGAGACCGTGTCCGGACAAGGTAGCCCTCCCCGAGACCGTGTCCGGCAACAGTTTTTGGAACTCAAAAAAACCGTGTCTTTTTGGACCCCCCCAGGCCCGGTCCGGGTCCTGCCGGTTTAGCCTCTGGTCCTGCGTATTTGGCGTCTGGTATCGAGGGTTTAGCGTCTGGTATTGAGGGTTTAGCGTCGGGTGTCGAGGGTTTAGCGTTGGGTCCTAAGGGCTTAGTGTCTGGTCCCACCGCATCGTGCCAGAGCCTCAGTCAGCGCAAGAGCTTGGTCTAGAGGCTGCGACCCGGTTCGGCGAAGAAAAACCCTCGGGTTTAGAGTAATGAAATAAATATCGTGCCTCGCTAGGCGACATATAGCTTGGCGAACCCATTGTTTGACGGTCGGCAGGCTCTGCAGCCTAGTGCAGAGCCTGCCATGGTCTCGCTGGCGCTCGACGCGCCCACTCACCTACAGAATAACAGGGGTGGTGGGCGGGTTTAGGGTTTAGGGTTTGGGGTTTAGTTTTTAGGGTTTAAGGGTTTACGGTATAGGGCTTTGAGTTTAGTTCTCAGGGTTTAGGGGTTAAGTTTTTAGGGTTTAAGGTTTCGGGTTTAGGGTGTAGGTTGCAATAACTGGGGTTATTCTATGGCTTTTAAGCGTACTAAGTCACTAAGTATGCTGACTAATTCCCCTCTGACCCTCTAAGGTTTAGGTTTTAGGGTTTAGGCTTGAGGCCTGTGGGCTTTAGGTTTAGGGCTAGAATGAATAGAATAATGGGGAATCAAATGGAAAATATTGGGGAAACAAATCCGACGTACCTCCTTCAAATAGTAAAGCCCCTCACTCCTAATGAACATTTTTATCCGTTATCCGCGAGTATATAACGGTACAATATCGAAGCAACTGATGGCTTTGAAAGATGGAAGCTCCCTTTGTATAGCTCAAAATGAAGTAGTCCTTAACATACGGAACCCGTAAACTCTGCACCCCCAAACCCTGATTTGTTCTGCAATGGAAGTTGAAAACAAGGCCACGGCAGGTCCAGAAGACTATCCAGGTAGCGATCTTGAAGCCTCCGCGCGGAAGCATGCTGTAGGGACCCAAACTGAATTTAAGAATTTGAGCTCGCTGAAGGCCATGTGAGCTATAGTCTAAACTCCTGGTATAGCACTTATTAACCCCTACAGGAGTCCCCTATACAATCTCCTATATATACCCCTTCAAGGAGTTTAGACTGTAGCTCATATGCAACTATAGTTACGTAAGGATTGAATAATGTGGGTAATCATTCAGGCTTGTACACTACTGCCCTCCCCCCAATATCATACCCCCCCACCCCTCACCCCTAATATCAAATACTCCCAGTGTATCGTAATGCACCACATAATGGGGGTATTTAATTCTAGGGGAGTGCGGGGGGAGGTAAATATTGTGGGGAGGTGATTAGAAGTTGTCAGTTCCTGAGGCTGACTCAACATTCCTGTAAGCAGCAGGGTGATAATCTTCATTGAAGCCTTCTGCTCAGTTAGGATTTAGGTTTAGGGTTCTGGTCACTGCTAAAGCGGAATAAACGATGACAGGACTGGTATTTGCACGTTCAGGGCAATTCTGACCCAATTATGACTGTACGCATAATCCAGCTATAACAATACTAGGAAACTTCGGGACGTATACTTGAAATACAAGTGCATTTTAATCGTTCATCTCCAAGTGTAGGCTCCAGCTAAACAGCTGAAGCTCGATCTCCACCGATTCAAAAACATGAGCCCCTAAACCCTAAACCCTAAACCCCGATCCTCGTCGTCGGAAGTCGGAGGGCATAGAGGCTAGCCCTGGCCCAGACGCATCTTCATGAATGCAGTGATCGTTTGGGGTTTAGGGTTTAAGGGTTTAAGGGTTTAGGGGTTGAGGGTTTAAGGGTTTAGGGCTTAGGGCAGTGATCGAACTGCAGCACAGATTATTTCATATTGCCGTATATTTTCAGTACCATGCATGACTGGTAGTTGCAACTGCTGCTGGTTGTTAAGCAAATGCTGTGTCACTTTGGTCATCAGAATGCCAACAACTGCTGCTGTGGCTGCTGATACTTCTGCTTCCCTAACCCTCCTCCTCTTACTACTCGTGCTGCCAAAACGTTACTACCTCTGCTTCATACCGTTGCACATCCTTAGAACCATCCTTCTTGCTCTATCTTCCTTTACGAGATAATACGTGTACAGTCCTTAAATGCTCTTATGGGCCATTGTTGGATACGATTTCCATTTTATATTGAAAACGTCATATGAAATTCAACACGGCTTTGAACAATATGACGGAATCATTAGAACATCCATCTAAGCCTCAAGCAACACGAGGGTCCTCCCCTTACTTGGAGGTTACACCATTTACAACCAAAATTTGTCTGCAGTAGGAACCCAGTCACAAACATAGCCAGGGACTCAGACGGTGTACAAGCCAGCCACAGTTAAACATGAGTTATAGTTGCACTAAACTTCCAAGTAACCCGCCCTCATCGCTAATAAGCAGCGTCCGAAGCTAGTATTTAGGGTTTAGGGTTTGGGTTAGTATTTTTGGTTGGGGAACAGTCATGATTAGCGCTTAGAGCGGTGGGTGCTCTATGGTTTGGAGGGGGGTTCTGGGGAGAAACAAGAACAAAAACTACATCCTAAGCCCTAAACCCTAAACCATAAGCCCGAAACCTTAGACCCTAGATCCTAAGCCCTGAACCTAGGACCTGGACCCAGAACCAGAAACCCTAAATCCTATTCCCAACAAGAAGCCACATGGCCTGACTAGTGCGTAACGGCAGCAGGTAAGGTTTCGCCTGGCTCAAAACAAAACGTTTTAGGGTTTCGGGTTTAGCCTGATCCTTTAATTGGGTTGTATAGGTATATGGCTAGGGCTTAGGTACGCCTAGGGCTTGGGGAGAATCAAGTGGAAAACAACATGGAAAACACGATGAAAACTGCTTGAAAATAGGGAGATGTATGGATGCCGTGGATGGAAAGGATCGTGCACCACTTGGGGTCTCTTTTTTACATGGTGACTTCGAGGGTGTGCAGTATACACCCTTGTCCCTAACTGTTGGAATTTCCTCCATCCAAAATAATATCATACACGCCCCCTAGCATATTAAGACCGGCCTGGAACTGAAAATTCGATTTTTCATGGTTCTCCTAAACTGATGATTATCACGGAATGAAAATTAATAATATGATTCTTAGTAATAATATTACTATTTTGAATATGTTATTTCTGAAGTTACTGCTGGAAGTGAGGCTCCGACGATCCCCAGGCATAGCTGCAGACATCCGCCAGATCCTGTGCGCCCAGTCGTGTTTGTATGTGGGCTGTTGCCAATATTCTTGTTCCTGGAACTGACCTTGATTCGGTTTTCCCTGCGTGCCGCCTAATGTGGTAAGTATCTTGCAGGACCATATCATGATGAAAGATTTGGCTCTGATTTTTCGAAAGTGTCAACTGTATCTAGCGCGGTGCCTTTTTTTCTAGGCTTCCATCTCTGTCCTTTCCATATCGAGCGTAACACGCATTACGCTGGCTGTCCTTGAGGCG